TATTATTGACATAGTGGGATGATCCATCTATTAAACCTTTTGGTAAGTGAGAGCTCCTTTTGGCCAATTTGATCGAGTGGAGCCCTCGAAGAGTGATGGACTTCCTAAGGAGTAGAGTTGATAATCATAAGTAAAAGTTGAAGTTTGAGTAATTTATTTTATGTGATGAGTGGTCACTTGTTAATCTAACCGGGTTTATTCTATTTGAGAGGAGGTAGCCATTAAGTGAGGCTAGTGTCGTATCATTTTGGATAAAGAAATAGTGGCATCTTTTTCATTTTTATTTATGAGCCTTTCACTTAATGTGCTTGAACTCCTTTTGTCTCTTAAAAAAATTTAATATACTATTCAATCCTTTGCATCCAAAATTTTAAAACATCCATATAAATGGTCCTGTTTGGAACAATCAATATCTTAATCGGATAGCTAGTGAATGAGTTAGCTTAATCACCCATCCATAAAAGTTAGTATCTAATGGCCGAGAGATGAAGTCTTGAATGAAATTAAAGGGTGACAAAGTGATGGATGGAACTTGGAGGCAAATTTGAGAGCCAAACTTCAATTTAGGATTGAATCATTAGTAATGCAAACTTAAGGGACTAAACTAGAAAAAAAAGATGGGTATGCCGAGAGGGTGGAGGAACTTGAAAAGGTAGGGTTAATCTTCTCTCCATGGATAAGGAATCATTGACAATGGAATGGTGGCTTGACTGGTGGCGTTGAATTCATCCGGTCGAGGTACCAATGACTCGGTCGCCGTGTGACACCGATGAAGGTATGATGGAACTCTAATGATTTTTTTTCTTTTTTTCTTTTCTTCCCTCTTTTTGTTTTCTTATCTTTCCTACATATGTTTCATCTTATCTTTCTTTATTTTTTTATATTTTTTTGCACTTGTTTGTAACTTGTTATCCCGAATGGAAAACATGTTCGCCTCGAAGAATTTTTCTTAGATGAAAAATATGTTTATCCTAGGAATATTTCTTCTTCTTCTTTTAACGAGTAATTTCAAGAAGTGGGAGACAATTTTATATAGTGGATGGATCAATTCTCTAGTTGGATATGGGGAGATTTCTTTAGTTTTTGAATATGGACCCTTTGTCCTTATTATTTGGCCTTTTTGCATCCATCTTGTCACATATGTGATTTGAATCTTTTTAGGCATTTATATTATACGAGATTTGTATCTTTACTTAAGTGGATGGCCACCTAATAGTAAGATAGGAACTAACTCCTTACAGAGGAAAGAAATCTCTAAGAAAAGACGAACCCTTTATAGAAGGATTGAGGAATTTGAATGTGGAAGAAGGATCCTCGAGACAAGATGGACCCATTAGAGAGGATAGAGAAATATGAAAATAGATGAGGGATTCCTAAAGAGAGATGAAGGAATTAAGATGTGGAGGAGAGACGGACCCATTGAAGAGGGATGGAAAAACCTATATGGAACTTAGATTGGAGTCATGTTATAGAAACAAAAATCAAATTAGAATGTATTAAACAAATCGAGGATCGATTTACATGGGACTCCAAAGTTAAAGGTTAAAGCGTAAAGGATGCAAAAAAGAGTTTGGCGTTTGAAGCCACATGGCCAAACGGGCCTAATCTTCTCTCCTTTTGTGTGTTATTTCTAGCAACGTAACTATGTCTTCTTTTATAGTTTTTTTACAAGTAAAAAGTTAAAAAACTACCAATCTGGTCTAAGAATTCGGTTGAAAGGATTGATTATACAACTAAAGAAGATTATAGTCACTTTAATGTGTCCTCATAATAAAGTTACCATTTAGTTCTAACCTATGTGAATTTCTTCGTGCAAAGTCCAATCATATGCCTACTTTTCTATCATGTCTAATGAGTTACTTGTGGGGCCTTTCTAACCAATCTTAAGTGAGGTGATTTGGAGAGATAAATAAGGTTTGATCACTCACCTAAGTTATTATGAGGTTGTTGGAGCTCACAGGGGAAGATAAAGTCAAAGTTTAAAGCCCATTACAAATCAAACAATCTAAAACCCGTATTGAAAATAAAAAATCAAAATACAATAAATTTGGACCAATGGGACCAAGTTCACTTACCAAGCCATACAATAAAATTACAAGCCTATTACCTAAATAATCTAAATATATATATATACATAGGCCTTGAGCCCATATTCACTCGCCATGCAACTTCTAAATTGATAAAATTAGGCTCGAGTCCACATACCAAGTTCAAAGTCGAATCGCTAGAAAACAAAAGCAATAACATTGAAAAATAAATAAAACAAAATAAACAAAAATAACAATGAGAATAAAAATCAATATGATAGTAATAGTAATACAAAAAGTTCTATCATTGAAAATAAGTTGGTCTCAAACTCTAACCCTACACTATTTAAACCGAGCTAGACAAACAATATGACAAATAAACAAGAGTGTAAAATATAATAAAATTAAACAAGGAAAAATTACAAATAACGTAAAGATAACTCTATTGAAAATAAAATAGACAATTAGCTTCCTCAAAGTCTTTGTCCTATTAATTTATCATCAACCAACAGTTCCTCAAGAACTTTTTAATTAAAAAATAAAAATAATATTATTTATTAAGTCAATACGTTTAATCTCATATTTTTTTAAAATAATAATAATAATAAATATATTATTAATAAAATAAAAATTAAATTATAAACATATTAAATGCTTTCTACTCGAATAAAATTAAATTTTAAACACAAAAAAAAATAGAACCTTTTAAATATGTCATATAACATCAAGGACTCTAAACTCAAATCTTTTCAATTAAGTCAAAATTAAATAATTTTAATTAATTAATCATCCAAATCTTATGTTAATAATATAATTAATAGATGAATCAATAAGATAATCATGCAATTCTTAACAATTTCTATGAAAATTAAATAAAAACTATTGAAAACACAAGAGTTTAAAAATCTAAATTAGAAGTTCGAGTACTAAACTAGACAAAAGCAGAGCAAAAGACAAAGGAGCTGACCTAACATGAGCGACCCTATGGCTAGAACGATAGCTTGCTCGTACGAATAGGGTTGCATCTGGCATCGAATAGGTGGTAGACCGATGGTGTTGGTTTTGTCTTCTTGTGTCGATGATGGTAGCGTGGAGCGTGTCGTTGGGGTTGCGGGGATAGAGTTACATTGTCATCATTTTACTTGAGTGGGTTTTTCTTATTCTGATTGTTTTTCTTTTATTATTAATCAGACCTAGATAATCTGACCCAATGTATAACGTATGCCTGTCCTGATCTAAGCCTAGTTCCTTCTTCTTTTTCTCTTTATTTTTTATTTTTTCTTTATTATAGAGGTGAAAATAGTGTAATGACACCTTCTATGATGGTGTTGGCTTTGTCTGGCCAAGGTTGTGATAATAGGTCGGTGCATGGTAGCAGCAGGGTGATGGTGGAAGTTCAATAAGCCAGTTTCCTACTCTTTTTTTTTTTTCTCTTTTTTCTTTTTCTCTTCTACACTCGCATCGGTCTTTCTTTCTCTAGTTTTCAATTTTTTATTTTTCTAACCCCTTGTTTTGATTTCTTATCTCCATATGAAATTTACTCTTGATGGAAAATATGTCCATCCAAAGAAGACTTTTTCCCGAATGAAAATTATGTTGATTGGCCAGAATTTTTTTATAGCTAAGTTTGCCTAGCATAATGAGCAATAAATAGGGCTAGGCATTCCATCTGACCTGTACAGTTAGTTGATACTTACATAAAATAATAAAATAATGACAAGTGGGTGTTAGTATTGCAAAAAAAATACAGGACCATATGAAGGCCATACTCAAAAAAAAAAAAACATTTCCTGCCATATTTTCCATCATAATATTAAAATAACAATAAAACTAATAATTAATACCTTCTTTGGGAAGGTGTTTATATGGTGGATGCATGTATGTCATTTAGTATAATTAATTCTATTTTAAAACACAGGAATATGATAAAAACAAAGTGGCAATATGAACAAATAAATTACTCATGTTTCCTACTGAAAGGTGATGATAAATGTTAGATACGTACACTATTTTTAAAGTAATGTGCTTCTTGAATTAAGAAAGATGCTACCTCATTTGATTAGTAGATATTTAGATAGAGCAAGTGCTGTACAACTAGTACTGATTTTTTGGGTGGAGATTTAAGAGTTTGAGAAAGCAAAAAAGGAGGAGGACACCATTATTGTTGGTTTGTAGGCTGAGAAAAACTTGGAGGAGTTTGACGGTGAAAAGTCAAGAAGTTTGGGCTAGCTTTTTGCTCAATCTCTATAAATGGTGCCACAAATGATGCGTGAGTTTTTGACATCTGGATTTGTTGAGCTTCATATTTAGCATTCTTGCAGGAGTGTGAATATTGGAAATGGTGTCCTTATTTGGCTCGTTTATGGTGCTAAGAGGTGCTTGGCAAAACCACTCTAATGGTTAAGTCATTATTTTAGGGATCCTGTATGTATGAGAAATAGGTGGTTCTCTATAAATATATATGTGTATTTATGTATTTAAAATTGTTGGAGAATAAGGAGTTTTTTTTTTTTTAAAGTTATGTTTCATATGTTCTTTACGAAGGAGAGAGCGTGTATATATATGTGTGTAGATATATAGTAGGAAATAAAAGGTATATGATATATCCATAAAGTTTTGAGTTCAATGACAATGAGACCATAAGGGTAAGGGCTCATAATTGTGAGAGAGTCTGGCTTTGGAAATAGCCCAAATTTAATGTATCATTAATATTTGTCCTTATAGTATGTTATTTTGGTTCGTTTGTCTCCACAAATTTAATTTAATGTAACATGATCTTGTCACATAGTTTTGATTTTTCAAAAATACTTATTCTTGAGAAAAAGTAAAAAAAAATACTTGTTTATTATTTATTTATTTATTTTAGTCTTGATTAGTTTAAACTTTTAACTTATCTTTCAAAGTTAACCATATAAATAGTCCGTGATATGTGTTATTTACGTTACTTTATTTTGTTTCTTTTATATTTTCTAGTGGCATGCAAGATATTTGAAGCACTCGATATATTTGATATATCTAACTTGACCCGTCTCAACTTTGGTAGGTTGATAGAAGTTAGAATTAAAAATACTAAAAAAATATAAAGACTTGTTTTATAGATGTAATTTGTCTCTTGTATTGCTAGTTGTATACATAGCTTATAGAAATACGGGATAACTTTGAAACTTATCTTTAAAAGTATTTAATCCTAATCGCATATAGTTATCTATTTGTTTGTTTAAGATACAACAACATGAACTATCATTCTAATCTTTACAAAATAATCTTTTAACCTAGGACATTGGTAGATTAATAGTAGATATTGTATCTAACATCTCTCCATAAGTGAATGACTCATTTGAAAGCGAGTTTGAGCTTGTCATGTAAAAAGACAAATTGATCTTTGCTTAATGGTTGTCATTGTTAGCACCCAAAATTATCCCTTTTTTTTAAATTCCTAAGATATTTTTAATTTTTCTCTTTTTGGTTTCCAAAAAAGAAAAAAATAAATAAATCAAAAAAAGGAAGAAAAAATAAAATAAAAATATATAATAAAAAAGAAATAAAAAACAAGAGAGAAAAAGAAATAAAAAAGAAAAAGGAAAAAGGAAAAAGAAAAAAAGAAGAGAGAAAGAAAAAAAAAAAAAGAAGGATTATTTAAGGTGGTTTAACTAAAAAAATATTTGAAAGTATTATGGGTCAATCTGAAAATAATATTAATTTAGAAGAGAAATTGCGAACAATTCAGGACTTAATATATGAAGTTGAAGGACCAAATTGAGAGACTTAATTGAGAAAAATCAAAACTTACGAGGATAAACTTAAAAAGGTGCTGGAAAAGGGGGACTAACTTAAACACATAAGATCAAATGACACATCGTTTGGTTCAAGCCTGACAGTAGCCCCCTCTTTTTTTGTATTGTTCATTGTCTTCTCCCGAGATGATTCTCTTATTTTTGGCCTGAAAAAAAAAAAAAAAAGAACCTTTAGACCCCAAAATGGTAAGAAAACTTATCCTCATGAAACCTTCCCACCCCTTCTCTCCCATCACCTCAAATAGCCACCGATTTACCCCTTTTTACACATTTTTCGAGCTACCATAAGAAGACAACTCAATGTAGCAACCAACTTTGGCAACTAAGAAATGACAAGAGAAGAGCTTCTATATCTTTTTAAAAGAAAGAGGAAGGTTATTCTAAAGATAAATGAAGGGTTAAGTTGAAAAAAAAAAAAGAGGAAAAATATAAGGGTAAACAAGGGAGAAATAAAGAAAGAAGAGAAGACTTTAAAAGGAAAAACAAGAGGTGTCAATGCTACAAGGAAGCTTTTGGAGATAAAAAGAGAAGAAGAAAGGTTACGAGAAAAAAAATGATATAAGTTGAAACTGTAAAGTGTGTGAGTATTTTAGAAGGAAAAAATGAGAAGAAAAAAATAAGAGAGAAGGGAGAAATCCATCCCAAAGTGAGCCACTCGAGAAAGGAAGTACTATCTCGCACCTTATCTTTACAACTTCAGTATAATTTTAAGAGGTATCTTTTTTAACTCATTCTTCTTTTGTTTTACATTTATATATCTATGTTTAATGTGTGAAAATTTTATGTCATTTACATTTTTTTTTTCAAGTTTTAGAGTTACTATTGGTCCCTTATCTTTACAACTTCAATATAGTTTTAAGAGGTATCTTTTTCATCTCATTCTTCTTTCATTTTACATTTATATATCTATGTTTAGTGCAAATTTTATCTCATTTACATTTTGTTTTAAGTTTTAGAGTTAAGCCCATAGTAGGGGAATTGTTAAAAAAAAAAAAAAACTAAATCTTTTTTGGTTTGAAGTAGGGTTTTACCAAGTTGATTTTCTTTTATTTCTAGTGACTTTTAAGATTGATTCTTTATGTGAGAGTGTAGAAGACCATCCTTTTTACATTTCAAAACCTTTTTTAGGTTAGAAACTGTTTAAAAAATCAAAAGAAAGACCCAAAATAGGGGACTATTAGGGAAAAAAAAGGACTTTTTCGATTTGAAGTAAGGTTTTTTCAAGTGGATTCTTTCACTTTCAAGCAAATTTTAAGAGTGGTTTTTATTTGAGGTTATAGAGGGCCATTATCTCTACACCTCAAAATCATTTTTAAGGTTGGAAAGTGTCTAAAAAATTCAAGAGAATGACCTAAAGTAGGGGAATTGTTAAACCAAAAACTAGGAAAAAAGAAAGTCTTTTTTTTTTTGAAGTAGGGTTTTTCTAAGTTGATTTTTTTCTGTTTCTAGCAACGAGTGAAAGTGATTCTTTGTTTAAAGATGTAGAGGGCCATCCCCTCTACATCCTAGAACTATTTTTAAGGTTAAAAATTGTATAAAGAATTTTGGAAACGAGACCTAAATTAGGGGAATTTTAAACAAAAAAACCTAGAAAAAAAGAGTCCTATTCGAGTTTACATTAGGGTTTTTTCAAGTTAATTTTCTTTCATTTTCAGAAATCTTTAAGACTAATTCTTTCTTTGAAACTATAGAAGACCATTTGCTCTGCATCCGATAACAATTTTCCAGGTCATAAGTGTCTAGAGAATTCAAAAGGGGGAGACCAAAAAATGAGACTATCGACTATATTTGTTTATGGTAGGTCGAGTAAGGGGTTTTGATTCATTTTCTCGGAGATTCATACATGATTTTAGGATGATTCTAACTCAATGATGTAGAGGAACTTGAGTACTAAAGTTTAGGTTGATTTTAGGAATTAATCATTAGAGAATGACTAGAGAAAATGACATTAAAGTGAGTACTCGAGAAACTTATCAAAAGACTTAGCTAAATTTTGAGTTAGAAGAGTGGTAGTTTTGTAATTTCAAATACAAGTGATTTTTACCACTTGTCAGCTTGTGATTGGAGATTTTTGGGCATCGAAAGGTAGAATGGTTAGCCTCAAGAATAATAAAGAGTATTATGGTCTTTTTTGTATGCGGGGGTAAAATGGCAACAATAAAAATCAAGTCGTAATATTTTAGGCTTTACTCTCGATATCTTTAAATTTGTTGATTTATTTTTGCAACTTAGTTATATGTTGATATGTCAAAGTACAATTGATGCACCATTACATATCAAACATACATATTTGAGACCCTAGGATCTTTATGAAAATATAAGGTTGAATTCAATACCCTACGACAGGATCGAGAGGATGAGTTTTTGCAATTAATATCCGAATTATCCAGGACAACTACCGATTTTGATTTGCCTCTCTTTGCTTGAATATATGAGTGAATGTGTTTGAATCGCTAGGAATGTGATATTTAAAAGGTTTAATACACCCCAAGTCCTTATATTTTAAATAAAATATCATCATAATCCTTGTACTCAAATATAGTCCATAATTGATCTTATATTCTTGAAAGTTAGTGTAAATTAACCCCTCTATTATGTTTTTCTCGTTAGGTTGACTAACTTCTATTAATTGACTTATGAATGACCAATACAATGTCAACACCTATCATTTTAAAGATGAAAATATAATTTTATTTTTAACCTTATATTTCCTACCTTCGTTTTAGGTTAAAATCATTTTCTTCATCCTCATCTCAAATCTCTCATCTTCACTTCGGATCCCTAAATGCCAACACTCTCTTTCTTTCCAAAAAAAAAAAAAAAAAAATCAACACAATCCTAACTCTGAAATAAAGGTTTTGCATGAGTGATTAAAAAGAAAAAAAAGGGTAGAATTATTATAAGCAAGAGAAGAAAGTGAAGAGAAGTAAGAGTGGAGTACAAAATAAATAGAGACGAGAGAGGGGATTTATAGGTGAAATGCATCAAAAGAAATTGTAAAGGCTAAACTAGTTTCTTGAAATTGCATCATCTCTCTCTGTCTTTCTATCTTTCTCTCTCTCTTGAACAATCTAATGCATATGTAGCACTATAAATGCCCCGGTAGGTCATTGAGGCTTTGAAAGGTAAAAAAAAAAGTAAGCCATGATTGATCACTAATATTTTTCCTTTCCCATCGAAATTAACTACTACTTTAGCTATCAATTCCTCAAAATGACTTCTCAATCTCTTATAATTAACTCTCTATATGCTATCTAATTTTGCAGGGAAAAGGATGGAGGGTCATTAATTCAAGCATTGAATGAAGAGAAGTTAATGAGATTTGAGATAAGGATGAAGAAAATGATTTTAAATGATTTTAACATAAAAAAAATCAATTAAAAACAAAATTACGTTTTAACCTTTAAAATGACGAGTGTCGACATTGTATTGGTCATTCGTAGTTCAACTAACAAAAAAAATATATATATAACGTAAGGGTTAATTTACACAAACTTCCAATAGTATAAGGTCAATTATGGACTATATCCGGGTACAAGAGTTGTGACAATAATTTTTTTAAAATACAAAGGCATGGAGTGTAATAAACCCGAATTCAAAAATGATTTTTTGAGTCTGAGTCTGTTTCAAAAGACCATTCAAAAATCTAATTTTTTTGAGTTTGAGTAGGTCTTAAGGATTGTTATTGGAAAAAAAAATTGATTTCTTAATTCTAAACTGTTTTAAAAAATCATCATTCAAAAACTTATTTTTTTGATTCTATTTTAGTCTTGAAAATTCTTGTTTCGGAACCCTCAAAATCTATGATACTTTAAAACTTAATTTTTGAATCTCCCGAAAGCTTGATTTTAATTTTTTTTCAAAACCTATAACCTGAAATTACAAACATTTTAAATCCTCAATTTTCCTAAACTTGCATTCGCTTTCAAAATTGTTTTTTTCTCCATTTTTTTGAGTTATTACGACTAATCCAAACTCACATACATTGAAAACCTTGATATTTCAAAGTCAATGGTGTCTAAAATTATTTTCATTCTCGAGTACTTCCAGGATAACGCAACTTTTAAGTTCATGTATATACTAAATCTTGATTTTTCTCTGGTTCTCTAATGTTTAAAAAGTTTTTTTTTTTTAATCTAATCTTGAGTTTCTCTAGAGTCAGGATAAGGCTTTTGGCTAATCTGATCCCAAATCATTCAAATAATCAATAAATGACTCGTTAACAAATATATCAATAGGTATAGGCATTCATTGTGTTAGAAACTAAAGGTTAAGTTTAGATACATATAATGTAGCCTGCTTTAGTTAAGATAGAATATGATGACTTATGTTTTTACTACATGTAACCAACTCTTTACGCGGACGTCTAAGTGCGACAATCATAACACCTACAATTTGATCTTTTGAAGAAATGAACCTGATCTGAAGTGACTTCTTAGTACCGAGGCTGCAACAAAATCAAATTCTATTTCAATGTACGTAATCCTTGCATGAAACATAGGATTAACAGAGAGACAGGTGGCTCCTACATTAACGCACCATAAAATGGACATTGGAATCCGTCTACCCTATTATGGTACAAACCAAACCCTTAGTCAAAAAGTTAAGACATGTTAGCCATTCTGTCTAAGTCTGACCATTTGTTAGCTAACTACTAATGCAAATCTCCATGTATTTACTTTTTGAGCAAAATAATGTTAGTACTTCTAGTTTGGAGAAACAAAATAATTAGTTCTTTGTCACCCTTTGCTAGAACTATGCAAGTTTTGTAAGTTTTAGTTTTTTTTCAATTGACATACTGATACATAATCCTTCAGATGTTGGCTCAAGTGATAATTAGATTAATAGCTCTCTCCTTTAATTGGTTATAATTTTTTATTTAATAAGTTAATTGTTTTTAATTTGCGGTAACTGTTTTATCTTGTGTTCTCACTTTTGGTATGGCATTCTTTGTTTCTTTATATTAGTCCTTATTGTGCCAACATCTAAAAAGAATTATTTTCTTATCGATTTAAGAAGTGCGTCTTTAAATAGTTTCAAAAAACAATTCAACCTAGATTGGTATTCAAGAAAGATATCATTATAAAAAAGAATAAAAACATTGTCCCATGAAGATTTAATTAGTTGTTGACTCCTCAAATCTAAAGAATTTACTTCAACTTTTTTTCCACCGGTTGTTCATTTGGTAACATCAATTCTAGATCGACGATTCCGGAGATTGACAGGAGACAATCCAAGAAGTCCCTACTCCCTACACACTACAAGCTGCCAGCACATAATTTTTGGATGGCAGGCATCTACACGACAACAGATTATTCAAGCTTAATCTCCATTGTTTAACAGAATCTTTACTAACTACCAAAACTGTGAAAACATTTGTCCAAAAGAGTTATACTTGGGTTGCGAACATGAGAGTGGTTAGGTGAATGTGAATCTTTTACATATACCGCTCTCTGTAAATAAATGGATTTAGCTTTATGTAAATTCGGTCCACCCTACAATTTACTATATTATCATACCTTGGAATAGGTGTTTTTTTTTTTTTTTTTTTTTTGGGTTTCTTCTAAGTCAATATATATGATTGTCAATCTCTCCACACCTAAAGAGAGGATTTGCATGTAATCATGGAGCAGGTTTGACCTTAACTACCAGACATGTCCCAACATAATTGATTAAAGTGAACTACTTTCACATCTCTGTAGTTAGAAATAGGAAGGCTAAGCATTTGTTTGGTTCAAAGGCCAATGCTAGTGGGGTTTAATGGAAACTTTTGCTTTCATTCTATTATCATTGGTAATTTCAGGCTCTTAATATAAAATTATGTAATTTAAATTTTAAATTATTAATTTTTAGACAAAATTGATCTAATTTTTTTAATTATTGTTATATATAATAATCATCTGAACTAATCGTTATTTGAAATGTCGAAACCACGTTGTTTTAACATTTTACCGTTAATTATATTTTTTTAAAAAACATATATTTTAAATTTTTTTTAACCTTTTAATCTTAAGCTTTTTTTAAAGAAAAAAATTCTTATAAATAATAAATATTTTATAAATATTTTTAACCTCTTAATTTTGAACTTTTTTTTCAACCCCAAATGCTAGTGGTAGTTAGCTGAACTGTAGATGTTCTTGTATTTAGGAAAAAAAAATTATTTAGTTAACATGATGGGTTGAAAGTAAGTTTGCATTAGTAGCAATTAAAAGTAGATATATGAAACGTAACATACATATATATATATATATGCAAAAGATGGAGAAGCTCCATTTTGAAGCTACCAATTTTCACCATTTTGAAGGAGGGACAATAACTCATTTTTTATTCACCAAACGCAGCGTTTATATAATCTCAAAATGCCAACGCAAACTCGGGCCCAAACAGGGCTTAAGTGTGAAAAACTGAAAATGATTAGGTCCAGGCGTGTTCCACCTGAAAAGGAGTTACCTTGATTGAAAACTACAAGCAGCGCACATGAATGCCAATGATTGTGCAATATGTCTATTACGGCCCATTGCCTTCTTTAGAAGCTTTGTCAAATCCCCCTTCTTCTTTTTTTTGGGTTCATCATATCAGGTCCCATTTTTGTGTCATTATAATACCAAGCTACGCATGGCATACAAGAAGGTATAATGGTTTCGAGTGTTCCTTAGACGATAAAGGGTATTGCAGACACAGTTCGAATCAACCTCCTTTGGGTTGGCACCGCACGGGTATTGATTTAAAGTATATAAATTGAGTTTGTTTTCTATATTACCATTTTGGATTTTAATAACAGAAAGCTCACTCTCTCTTTAATGATATTTGTACCAAGCAACTGATCAACCTGTTCCCCTCCTGTTTTATCTCAAATATGTTTCTTAGTTTTAAAGTAAGGTTATTTTTTTTAATTAGTTTTCAAAAATCGAAATTACTTATTTTTATTGCCTCTCCAATGTGCTGAATCGATACAATCATATAAATTATTTTTTACCGTATTGAAACATGGCTAGAAGAATTAGGAGCAAAGTATTTACAGATCGGGTCAAGTTTTTAGAGGTATTTTATCTCAAACGTGCATAAGATGGAATCCACTCTCTTAAAATAATGCTAAGTGATTTTATAAATTATATTAGTTCCACAAGCCCATTATCCATTTCTTGAATATGCTTTTGTACTTCTATTAATTAATTAATTATGTGTTTAATTAACAAAACTTGTAATAATAAGAAAAAGTAATAAAGGCTTGTAGGGTTGTAGCTGAAGTGATTTCTTAATGCGAATTCAGTCATGATTTAATGGATTGCTATAATTAATAAGCTTAAAGAACATAAATAACTTGTATCGATTAGGATGTCCCAATAAAGTGAGGACTTAATTTGACAAAAATCAACTGTTGGTAGGGACCATCCATCCACAATCTCCTGCTATATATTTGGCTTGATATTTTGATAGACGACTATGGCTTGTGTATATCTGGATGTCGTTCATACTTATTATTTTCTATATCCATCTACCCAATAAATGGCATTTGTTAAGCCTTCAATCAGTTTTCCAATTGGTGGATGTTGGCCCTTCCTTTATTCTAGACAATCTTCATTCCATTGTCTCCTTTGTTTGTTTTGAATATTTTCATGCCTTTACACGTAAGTGTTGCAATCGCATGCACCCCAGGACCATATTCATGTGCCACGACTTGAACTTTTTAGTCCATATATGTCAACATTCTCCTCTCTACTGCAAATTATCTCTTTAAATTATAAACTATCTGAGCAGCACAATAGATATAGCAAAATATTAGTTGAAAAAGAATTTTTTTTTTTTTGTCACTAATATTAAAAATGGCCAATTTTTGGTGACCATCTAACTAAATCTTCAAGTGGATTGGAAAAAGCGAGCTTAATATTCTTTTTGTAATAAGAAACCGTTAAATTTTAAGCTTGCTTTGTTTTTCATGGAAAATGACTTGGGAAAGTTTCAAACATAATATTACTTTGATTTGCAGATTTTCTATATTTGAATAAACCACTAGACAAAGTACTTTGAAAAAGTTTGAAATACTCTAGAAATAATTATTCTAAGTATATAGTACTTAGTGAATGAGCTCACTTTTTTTTTTTTTTTTAAGATAAACATATAAAAAAATTATATTCGAATCTAGTAAAAAAAAAAAATTCTACTCAAGCTCAAAATGAATAATATAAATTTTTTCCTTGTTCCACTGTCTACCTGTATTTAATCTATTAAAAGAAGTTAGGTGATGTGAAAATTGATGGGTTAATTAATAAGTAGTTTACTTCATGAAAAAATAAATGTCGGTGATACCGAATTAAAATAGTGTTTTGTGCTACAAAATTTGACAATCTGGATTCCTAAAAGCCTGAAAATGTAAAAATCAAAAACACAAGAAAACGGAAAATTTGACTTTCTTCAATAAGATTGGCAACTAAGAAGAAAAATTGATTTGACGTGAAATCACAAGGGATCCTTGCATGTGCAAATGAGAAAACCTATTGGTTAAAAGTAAGAGAAAGCGAATGCCACATGGCATTGTCTTTAGGTACCACGTGTAATTGGGTGGATGCGAGGAGTTGCTAAGTAGCTTTCACTCGCTCACAAGTCACAATCCCACCATCCAAAAATCCTCTCAAAATCGATAATATGTATATATTTATAACCAACTAACATGGTTAGGCCTTTTATTTTATTTTTATTGCCTTTCCCTACCCTAACTGCTTAACAAAGACCCTTCATTTTGCTTTTGTCCCAATTTTATTATCTCCAAGGAAAAAAAAAAAATGCCTACAACTCTCCCCCACCCAAGATCAAGGGCAGGCTTCTTCTTCAAATCCATAACCAACGGCCCAGATTGTCTTATACAGACGAGAGAATCGTAGAAAAAGAGAAGCATAAATCCTCCCATGTGAGTCCGTAGCTTTCACAAGCCAGAAAATAAACGGATTCTAAGGCTTCTCTTACGGGTCCAAGTGTACACTACATATCGTTGACAGGTGTCGGCCAGAGAGGTCATTATTCCATGTCAGACTTGTGGATCCTGTATTTGTTTCCTTGTGTGAATCACCGGCGAGGTTTGCGGCCAAATTGTCTTTTTTTTTTTTCTTTTTTTGGGCGCTGATCAAGAAATTAATTAAAGAAAGAGGAAGAAATAATTTTGGGCCTACAAGCAGCTAGTGAGGTTTGATTTTGAGGGCAGAAGCATGTGCAGCTGTTGTCACAAGAATTTGTTGGTCCAACTTATAATCAAATCATTTTTTATTTTATTTTTTAATTTTTTGAATGTGACAAAATTAAATGTTGCTGATCAAAAAGACGTTCTTGGTTGGCCATAATTCTATATTTCTTAGCTACTTAATCATTATTTAAATTAGATTGTACTTTGTGTTTTGATGCACTTCCTGCCATCGGAGAAAAAAACCCTTTTTAGATTTTTATTTTAATATTGCCATTGGATTCATTTTTTATGCTATATAATAGAGTATTATTAATATGTAATTTACTTTAAGAAGGATTGGTTGAGATTTAGTTATTAGGGCTATATTTGTTTGGAGGAAAATAAGTTTAATAAGAAAATCAATTCTTGAGAAAGCTATTTTTCAGGAAATTATTTTTCAAAAACATATTTTCTACATCGTTTGATAATTACATGAAAAAATTGCTAGAAAGTATATTCTAGCGTTTGTTTGATACAAAAAATTAAAATAGAAAAACATATGTGATTGTTATATCAACAAGTTTTGAGAAAACTTCAAAAAGACATATTCATAATTTCACAATATAAGATACATTTAAAAAAATTTAATTAATTTTTAAAAATACCGACTCTAAAATTTTAATTCGAAAAATAAAATGTATTTTTTTAACCATCAAACCAATTCATCAAAATTACTGGGGATAAAATCAAATCAATATTCACATTTAGTAAAAAAAGATTTTAAGTAATCCTAGCATTTTTTTTTTAAAGAAATTGAACCAATAATTTAGTCTTAAAAATAATTTTATAAATTATTAGTTATTATTTATAGATAATTATTCATTTGGTCTCAAAAGATTAATATTGGAATAATTTGTAACTAATTATTCACTACAATTACTAAAAAAAATTTACAATTGATTAAAATTATAAATTATTGATTTAATTATAAATGAATAATGTTGAAAAAATAATGTATTTATTGATGAATGAATTAATTTTATTTTATTTTATTTTTTTTCAAAAAATTATAGTCTTGTAATAATCATTTCCAATCATTTAAGTATTGTTTATGTGATGTTTGAGATAATAGTAAAAAGATAGAGATAAATTATTGAAATATTTAGTATAAAAATAATTTTAAGATGTAAAAATGATTTTTAAGAATATTTAATGTATCTATAAATAAAAAAATCAAATATTAGTAAAAATAGAAAAAAATAATTAAATAATTAATAATAATTGAATTGATAAGAAATAATTAAATATTAATCCGATATATTTTAAATAAAAAAGATGATAGAGAAAAAAATATTAAAATATATCGAGAGAGAGATAAATAACGCAAGAACGAGACAACTCGTGAAAAGGAAAATGTTTTTCTTTTTTGAAACGGAAAAAATATTTTTTCAAAAATACTCTATCATTTTTCGTTGATCGAAAATTATTTTCCGTTAACTTTTTTCCTAAATACAAAACAAAAACTGAAAAATAGAGAAAACAAATTAATCTTCATATATCACGAGTTGTAATCCTTCAATATGTATAAGGTATACATGCTCAATCTAGAAATTGTTTTCTACTCCTACTATTATATATGTACGCATATTTGATAACTTATCAAATCCTTTTTTATTGCCAATCCTACCTTTAACACTAGTACTTTTGGTGACTAAGAAATCTCGACTGCTGTCCACTTGCTTGGACAAGTATCTAAAAATGGCACTTTGCTTTACCAAGTTCATCCGCTTAATTATTGTCGCTTTTAATTGAGTAAATTTAACACCTTCCATTTTAAAAATAATGAATACGGTGGATCGTTATGATAGCTTTTAGTTTTCACCTTTGGCAAATCAGACAGCAAATTTAAGGGCCCATGAAATCCAAAAATTTATTCTGCTCCCAAAAAAATTTAACTAAATAGCAATTTATGTTGTAGCTTTTGCTTTTTCAACTATAGCTAATGTCTGTAAATTATTGTCATGTGCAGCAAGGCTTCAAGCTCATACAAGAACTCCAGACATTAAAAAAACCCAGCTCATTCTTAACTAGATTCAGTATGATTTACGCACTTTAGATGAGTAAACCAGCTAACAAAAACAAAGCCTAGCTAGCGCTTTCAAATTTTATAAATATTCCAGTGTCAATGTCGCTTTTTTGTTATATGTTTCATGTTTGGGTTTACTTTGATCTCAAGGATGTATATGTTGAAAGTTGAATAACAAATGCGCCTACCATATTAGCTAGCCACTTCATAATCTTTTCCTTACTTTAATTTCATCATGCAAAAATATATTTGTAAATTCCATTTGTCAGAGTTTTAATTAATTTACATGATATATTAGCACCATCTTTAATCTTGATTTCTTGAGCACATAAATATTAGTGATTGGGCCCACCATGCTAGATTGAAATTAGCAACAGCCCACCCCCCACATAACCATTCTCAAATGAAACTACGCACTTTAGAGACTCAGAGTCGAGCGGCATTGTTGAAAAAAGTAGATGATGTAATTGTTCTTCGAAATTTGGTGTCTTTTTGACTGTAATTTCCTACCTCTATTTAGGCCTTGCTTAACGGCAAAAACTACCCACTGTAGGAATCCCGTAAATCCAGAAATCACGAAGCACAAATTGGACCCACATCTTTAGTTTAATCACGCCCATTTAGCCCGGCTTTAATGTCTTTATATACACCCTTTTCTCCATTCATGTCTCTCACACTCTTCCCTCCCTTCACTCTCTCTCCTCGCTGGTGCACCCGAAAAGAAGAGGAAAACAAAATGACAAGCCCTTCTCTCTGTCTCCTCTTCCTCTTCTCTCTCCTAACCCCAGCCCTCATTTCATCTTCCTCTGTTCAGGACCCTGAACTTGTAGTACAAGAAGTACATAGGTAAGTCCAACATTGTACGTACCATATATATTTGATTTATGTATTATTAGTGTTAATAAAATTGTGTTACATTTGTCTTTTTTTTGCTTGGACAGGGCCATTAATGCCTCTAGGAGGAACTTGGGCTATCTCTCTTGTGGAACTGGCAACCCCATTGATGATTGCTGGAGGTGTGACCCCAATTGGGAGAAGAACCGTCAAAGGCTAGCGGATTGTGGAATTGGGTTTGGAAAGAATGCCATTGGTGGAAGAGATGGTAAAATTTATGTGGTCACAGACTCTGGTAATGATGACCCTGTGAACCCTAAGCCAGGGACTCTCAGGCACGCTGTAATTCAGGATGAGCCATTGTGGATCATTTTCGCTCGGGACATGACGATTCAATTGAAGGAAGAATTGATCATGAACTCGTTCAAGACTATTGATGGTAGAGGCGCTAGCGTCCATATTGCAGGCGGTCCATGCATTACTATACAATTTGTGACCAACATTATTATTCATGGACTACACATACATGATTGCAAGAAAGGAGGGAATGCTATGGTGAGAGACTCCCCACGGCACTTCGGATGGAGGACTATATCAGATGGTGATGGTGTGTCCATCTTCGGTGGTACTCACATCTGGGTGGACCATAATTCATTGTCAAATTGTGACGATGGACTCGTTGATGCAATCCATGGGTCCTCAGCTATCACCATTTCAAACAATTACATGACCCACCATGATAAAGTCATGCTTTTGGGGCACAGTGATTCCTATACTCAAGACAAGAACATGCAAGTTACCATAGCCTTTAATCACTTTGGAGAAGGGCTTGTCCAAAGAATGCCAAGGTAAAAAAAATTTAAATTCCATTTTTTTAATTACAAAAGTGTTGGTTAGTGGGGTAATTAACTAACAAACATGCTCATTACCGGTGATCCAGGTGTCGATTATGATTCAGAATTTGGAAATTAATTAGTATTTCTTCACATTTTCAGATGCAGACATGGGTATTTCCATGTGGTCAACAACGACTACACCCATTGGGAGATGTATGCCATTGGAGGGAGTGCTGACCCAACCATCAATAGCCAAGGAAATAGATTTGTTGCACCTGACATCAGGTTCAGTAAAGAGGTGAGAGCTGAGAACCCATTTATTTCCCAACTGAAATAACTAACTTCCTTGTGAAACTCAATGCCCAAAAAAGAGTTGCTTTTATAAGCCTTAAATGTACAATCCCTAACACATTTATTATTTTTTTTTTAATGCAGGTAACAAAACATGAAGATGCACCAGAAAGTGAATGGAAGAATTGGAATTGGAGGTCCGAAGGAGACCTACTGGTGAATGGTGCATTTTTCACAGCATCTGGTGCTGGTGCTTCTTCAAGCTATGCTAGGGCATCAAGCTTGGGTGCGCGACCATCTTCACTTGTCGGTCCGATGACAATAGGGGCCGGTGCACTTGGGTGCAAGAAAGGGGCTCGTTGCTGATTGTCAAAGATTGAAGAAACAATATTTATTAAAAGTGATGATTTGGACTATAATTAAGTAGCTAGTTAGAAAAAGTAATTAAGCAGAAGGGATAATTAAAAATGAGGAAGGTGAAGAAAAGTCTAAAATATTAGTTTCAATTGGCTTTATCTTCCCTCCAATTTTTCTTTTTTCTTTTTACCCATTGTTATCTGCTTGTCTCTTTTTTGTTTTTCCTTGTTTCCTCCCTTTTGTACTCGACTTTGATGATTACAACCTCGGCCTGTTAATCTTTAAACCATTTGGAATTCTCTTTGAGAATCTTGATGGGCTTAGAGAAAACAAGTGCAGAAGTGTTGATATGGTATATATCAATTATCTTTTCATGTTAACCTCTCTCTCCCCCTCTCCCTCTCAATCAAACAATCACAAAGCCAAGGACAAAATGAAACAGACTTGCAAGTGCAGACAGGGGAAAGGTTTTCCAACCTTCACCAGTTGAATTAATGCAAATGACAAGGAAAGTTCAACCACCAAATTAAAGTACAAAATTTTTAACAAGTGAAGGCAGAGCCTATAAAATCAAGCTAAATAAGTATCTCAATATATCATCATAAGTTCGAGTAAATTATAAATTAATCTCTCTAGTTTTTAAAAATATTTTATTTTAAATATTAATTATCTAATTTTCTTTTCTGTATTTTAATTTATTTTATTTTTTTAAAAAATAAAAATATGAAAAAAATTGATGAGACAAAAATATTTTATAAAATATAAAAATATTAAATTAATTACTATCAATACTGATTAAAAAAATTAAAAAATTAATTTTTGAAACCAAAACAATCAATTAATTTGTTTTTCAAAACAAAACGGAATAATTTATAATTTACTCTCAGGATTTTGGGATATATATATATCCACTTAACTAACAGAAATAATAGCCTCTCCTGTGAAAGTAAAGTGCATTACAAATACAAAAAAAAGCTCCTCCATCAGCTTTCTTACCATGTCGTCCAATTAATTGTAATAATCAGATACGGCAACTACTTTGCCTTGTTCAGTTCATTTTTGACCATTCGTTAACTTCGCTTTCACCAATGAATTTTAAATCCGAAAAAGAAAAAGGAAGTCCCACTAGCTAACTACCAAAAAGGGTACCTCTAATAAGGACTTTTGGAACTGGACCTACTTGAGATTTGAGAATAGATTAGGAGGGAGGAGAAAAGAAGAAAAGCACATGGATGCCATGGAACTTCTTTTGATGGCTTGGTCTCTTCTCCTCTGTGGTCTAAAATCTAAAATACGGTTTCAACAAAATCCAGTTCTTTATTTATTATGGCTACCAGAGAAAACCCATATTATAGGTAGCAGCAGACAGCAGTAGTGCACATGCAAAATCAGAATATGTGAGGGATTTTAATGATTCCCTCATGTGGGTGTATCGAGCTCCCTGCCCTCCACCTCCAGGTATATAGGGTGAAACGTGAACCATACTTGGTCTTTTTCTCCATAAAGTAATAATAATTCTAGGGCTTTGCCGTTGCCACTGCATCAGATAAGATCATATATGATAGCCGCCAACAGGCTACCCAGATCTCTCTCCTGTTTTTGGTAACAGCCAGCTGACCCGGCAAGATGAGGTTTTCATTCTATCCAGAATAAACTTATAAAAAAAGAATCGAGAGTTAGAAAAAACATTTATTAATAGCATCGCATCTCTTCAAAGCCTTAAAAAACATTAAAAAGTTCTGTAAGCGGGTGACCACAGATACATTCGGGGGCGTTGCTGAGTTTTCTGAATTTCAACAGAAGGTTTTGTTGTCTGCTAGAAGTGATGGAAGCAAAAATGGCAGTATCGATGGGATCAAAGATTTAAACTTATGGCAAATTAAAAAGAAAAAGAAAATGCCGTCTTAATTTAGAATCCCACCTTTTGATAATTCTTTTTCTTCAAAAGACAAATATGTTTTATACAATCAAAATTAAGGAAGCCATAGATACATTTAGACAATCAAATTACCACACCTCATTCGCACTTTTGCAATCAAGCTATGACATCTCATTTTCACCCACCAAGATGGCCTTATCAAGAGAAAAATTACACGAGCCTGGTTCCTATAGTTCCGCCGACGCAAGTCTGTGGACGGCAGACAATTGTCCCCCCACAGAAATATCTGTGGTATTATGGTGACCAAAATTGAACGCATTTAAGTTTAACTTTGAATATTCTGAAGCAGAGAACATGAGACTGGCGTCACTGGCCATCACTTTTGATCAGTTTGAGCCTTGAGGCTACCCCATGATGGGCCCTCCAGTTTCCAGAAGAATCCCAGCCTATAGTACAAAGCTGTTCCAGTGGTCGCGGGATACAAGTCTGGGAGAATGGGGACTCAACATCATCTCCTCAAAGGAGCCCACGTTCCCACTTACTTAATGCACATGCTCTAGCAAGAACCAAAAACTCATAATTCAAGCCTATCTAAAAGTCCCTTTGTACACGAGACATACGTAACAGCACGTTCATACAGGTTGGATTCTCCCCTTGTATATCCTCTTCGACATGGCCCATCAAGTCGTTGAGGTGTAACTATAACACTGGATGACTGGACGTTCTTCCATTTAGCTCACAAACATGGCATGTGATTAATTAAACTGACTACATGAATTGCTCTCATACTTGGGCATGCATGCCAGTCTGATCTGATTGTCTTGTATAAGTAAATGGCACGGTGGTGTTGGATCTTCTAAGTTTTAGATAAGTAGTAAGGGGATGCCATTGCCATATATCCATACGCACGTAAGTGACAAATTAATATAAAACTATTCTTGTAGCTTTATTTAATTGAATTGGGGTGTATATATATATATATATAGAGAGAGAGAGAGAGATTCTAATGAACCAGAAAAGGAAGAATAAAGTAGGTGTTTTTTGGTAAGTCAAACAAGAGATATAAATACAAATACAGAAAGCTATTGACCCTCAAAGCTATTTACCATATATTATAAAAATCTGACTTATATGGATCAAAACTGGGTGATAGGTGGATTAATGAATCACAACCTTATTCCTGACTACTACAATAGATTTCGGTAATGTAATTAATTTTGGTCCATGTAGATCATGTCTAAATTAATAGCTATCTTCGTATTTTTCTGATCTATAAAACATATAGTAATAATTGCCCTCATTCCTTTAATATATATAAGGATGGGAGATATTTGCAATTTTGCAAATAAATTTATCCCATAAATTTTTTAGATCGAGAAAGACTATATACATTTAAGATATTAACTTGAATGTTTTGAACTCGAGGGACATATATTTGAAAATATTGTGAACTGCAAAAGTTTCAATTATTTAATAATTATGTCAATACCGGAAACAATTAAGAAACTATTTCTATTTTTTTTAAAAAAATTGTTAACTATTTGTGTTTTTGTTGAAAAAGAAATTGCTAAAAATTTTGAGACTGATTCCATAATGGATGAAATTTATACAATGAAAGAATAATGTTGAGCGCAAGTCATGCACTTATAGGACCCAAGACTTTTGAAGACAGCAATTAGTTGTGCTACCTGAATTATACTTATATAAACAACTATCAGCCCAAAAATTTCTGTATAAATAAGGAAATGGACCAAGATCCAAGGAGACAATGACAATTAATAACTAAATTGTCATAGTTAAGGATGTTAAAATTTCACAATATGAACTCTTATCATTACACAGAATTTGCACCCCCTAAAACTTCAAATCAATTAACAAAAGAAAGACAACTAGGACCACCAACCAAAAGAAAGCTAGGCAACTGACTAGGTTGATCACAGAGTGACCAAAAAGAAAAAGAAACGGCATGACCTCCCTAGCAAGGGTTTCCTGTGGCTCATGATGAACACTAATTATTGACCTTGTCTCAACATCTTTTCGAGGCCTAAGCATCCAATTTAAACCCATTTCTTTCCTGTGAATGTCCATTTTACTTGTAGAATGTGATTCTCTGTCACCATCTACAAACAAATGTTCAATTAATAATCAAACATACATATTAACATCATAAAATTATTGAACATTCTAACATAAAATTATTGTAGAGCACATACCACCAATTTTCTCCTGTTTTTCCTTGCCCTTTTCCCTGCCACTTTCTGCACTTCCTCCTCAAACCTCGCCTTTTTAAAAAACTTACAAAACCTCTTTTTTAATGCGTTTTGCTCAAAACAACAAATTAAAATATAAACAATCAAATTCTACTAAAAAAAAGTAAACATTTAAGATTTGGGTATTTTTCAAAGTTATAAATTAACCACTTAAAAAACATTAAAACCCCTAATTTTTAATGTGTTTTGCTCGAAACAACTAATTCAAGGTTAAACAAGTTGTTTCAAAACAAGAAAAAAACATTTAAAAAATTAAGATATTTTTAGTACTTTCAATCATAGATAAAAAATCTTCAAAACGCCCAAAGTCTTTATGGGTTTTGCTGCGGATTAGATAAAGTTAATGTTAATACCAACTTATTATGGATTAAATACATTTGTATTTCAAAAAATTGAAAATTACGTTACGCTACACATACTTCATTTTATCTTTAAATTGTCCTTAATTTATCTTCAACTTGACCATAAACAACCACAAAAACATTTAATTAACAAAAACATTTAATTAACAAAAACATTCAATAAAACAATATGATTTCAAGAGATTTGGCATTAAAAATCACTGTTTTTCAGGTTTCTCTCTTTGAAGAGGGCGAGAATAATAGGAGAGAGAAAATCAAGTTAGGAAAGAAATGAGTTATGCTTGGATGATATTTGAGGTTTAAATATATATATATATAGTTCACCGGCCTGAAAATTCATTGTAAAAAAAGGTGTAAAATATAATTTTTGAAAAATAAGAGGGCAGAGTGTTCCCGCCACCTAACTACATGGTATTTTCATAATTTATTAAAAAATTTAATGACAAATGGTTAGTCTTATGTGTGTAGATGTATAGTTAATTTCTAATAAAACCAATT